TGTGTGTGTGTGTGTGTGTGTGTGTGTGTGAGGCGTAAGGTGCGTACATGTATAGGAGAAAGAAATAACTGAACAGTAGTTCAGAAATAGGATACTTAGAATGTATTTTATTTTACAACATAGCAATTGGGAACAAACATCACTGCCACCTTCAAGCAAACATGACCTTATTAAACACAACGACACCAATCAAGGACAATCGCAGCAACAACAAAAACAAAATAACAAATTCCAAAATTATGAAGCCTTAAAAAATGAAACAGATTTATCTTTTTTTTTTTAAAAAGAGTAATACTCTTAGATATTCGACTCTCCTCATCCATGATTCCCCGAGACATAAAAATTAGCTAAATTTCTGCTTAGTTTATGTAGAAAGCAGCTTTTGTTTCGCTTTTCTGCAACGTTTTTCGCTTCGTTTTCAATTCTGAGACACAATAAAAACATCTAACTAAAAAAAACATCAAACAATTGCCCTCATTTATCTCCAGACAGTGAAAGGTAATAAGCCATGAAAGTTACTGATTTAGTTTCTGATCTTTTAGACGTTTAATAACGCTCCAAATTATTTTTATTATTATTATATTTTATAGTATTTTATTTTATTTTTTATTTTTTATTTTATTTTTTAAAAATTGTATTCTGTTTTATTTTATTTTCGTGGGTTTTTGTTTTTGTTTTTTGTTTTTTTTTTGGGGGGGAGGGGGTGGGGAGCAACGGCGAAAATGCAATTGCAAATATTAGGACGTTTGTTTGGAACATAGTAGTTTAGGAACAACTTCAGAATCAGCAACCACATAAGAGTACAGAAAGAACTGAGGTCACGGCAAGCGTGTTGACCACCTGTATAAACAAGTAATGATCTCGGATGACATTTATGCCAATCTATGATCATCATAGTTGTTTGACAGAAGAAAACATGGAGACCCTGATACCGCTTGAAGCAGCGTTTGTCAACCTTTTTTAGAGTTAGCACCCACTTTTGTCTTTCACAAGGCTGAAATCTTCGTACCGTCCTCATACATGCATTCCCAAGCTAGGCATTGAAAATAACACCTGCCACTACCCGATTAGTCTCCATTACCAGCCAAAATTATCAGATCACCCTGGTTGGCAAACAATGGTTTAGATAACCTTATGGTATTTTGTACAAAAGATATTAAAAAACGGGCTTCATCATGAATACTGCTAGAAAACAACAACATTACAGTTACAAAAAGGTTCACCTTTTATGGCTCGCAGTGGTACGTGCGAAAAAAAATATACCTTTAAGAAACGTGGAAACGGGATGATGATGATGATGATGATGATGAGGATGATGATGATGATGATGATGATGATGATGATGATGATGATGATGATGAGAATGATGATGATGATGATGATGACGATCAGCATAATCGTCGTCGTCACCATTATTTAATTACAGCTTCCCCCTCCTCCCCGCTACATCAACAATAACAACAACAACAACAACAACAACAACAACAACAACAACAACAACAACAACAACAACAACAGCAGCAGCAACAACAACTATAGCAATAACATCATCATCTACATCATCATCAACAACAACAAAGATTTAACGGAATCCACAATCGAAAGAAGCAAGACCACAAAGACAAGACGCGTCGTTGGTTTAGCGGGCATACTATTGGGCTACGGAGCTGACGCCACTTGCTGGAAGGCCCACTTTGAGTTCTTCGAGTGGAGTGCTCGTCAAGGCTCTCCACTCATTTGGCACCGCGCTTTCTGTGAATGACATTACAATTGAAGGTCCAGCCTCTAGCCTGACCAGACCTTACAGTGTGGAAGAAGTATTTCTGTAACTCCCAGAAGAAGAAAAAATTATGTCTATTTACTCAAAGATCACTGGAATGGAGAAAGAAAGAACACATCACACAACACCAAAACAGCCAGCAGAAATAGGCTAAACCCAAGAACTCAAGCCCTAGACCAGCCCCCCCCCCCCCCCCCCCCA